TTTTTTTCCTCATTTTCACTGGTAAGGTTTTCCCTCAGACCTCCCAGGTCCTCGAGCCTACTAGCAGTCCATGGGAATACAGCAGTAGAAGAAGGTGGAATTACAGATCACTTACACCAATCGGCTATACACAAACTCACAGGACCAGACCAGACATTTTCAGACACACGAAGGTCACTTGGAATACCTGGCTAGATCTACCAGGAGCAAAATGTACCTACTCAACCAAACCGAGATAACTGCATGTGTGAATAACAGGGCAGCAATGGATGTTGTATACCTTGACTTTAGCAAGGCTTTTGACATGATCTCCTATAATTTCCTTACAGCTAAAAACATCTGTGAGATATAGACTGGATAAACATACAACAAGGCAGGCAGAAAGTTGTCTAGACCACCTGATTGAAAGAATTGGGATCTGTGGTATGAAGTCCAACTGTTGGCCGTTTTCCAGTGGCAACGCTCACAGATCCGTACTGGGGCCAATACAATTTAGGGTCTTCATTAACAATCTCTGGACACAAGGACGAAGCGTGCTCCAGCCAGACTACAAATGACACCCAGGCTGGGAGAGCTGTTGATACACTGGAGGGCAGGGCTGCTATTCAGAGGGACCTTAACAGGCTGGACACGTGCACTGACAAAGACCTCAAAGCAAAGCCCTGACCCTGGGATGGAGTAACACCATGCAACATTACAGGCTGTGGCTGGGGTGGTCAGAAAGTAGCTCTGCAGAAAAGGCAGCAGGTTCCCAGTAGGTAACAAGCTGAACATGAATGCGCAGAGTGCATCTGCAGCAAAGCCGACAACTGCATAGTAGACTATATTAGCAAGAATGTAGCCAGCAGTTTTGGAGAAACTACTCTTTCTGGGTATTCAGCACTTGCAAGATTACAGCTAGAGTGCTGGGTTAAGTTTTGCACTTCCCAGTAAAAGAAACACACAGGTACATATGATTGAGTCTAGCAGAGGGATACCAAGCCGCCTAGGTGCTCAGAGAGAAGCAGGGACTTAGAGACGAGAAACAGAGAACTGTATTTTTTCTGCATTCAAAAAAGAAAGCCAGGGGAAGGGGGAGTGATGGTGTGATCTTGCTGCTGTCTTCAACTACCTAACTGGAAGACCACAGCAGCAACGGGGTCAGACTCTTCTCAGAAGAACATAGTAGTAAGACAGACAAGAGGCAACAGACAAATTGCAACACAGGAAATAACAATTAGCTTTATGAAATGCCCTTTTTTCTTTCTTTGGTCATGAAAGTGGTCATGTACTAGAACAGATGCTGGCAGAGGTTGTGGAACCTCCATCCTGGGGAACAGTCAAAACTTAACTGGACACAGGCGTGCGCACCCTGTTCCAACTGCACCTGCTTGGAGCAAGAGGTTGGACTAGATGATCTCTGGAAGTCTCTTCCAGTCTGTGCGATTCTGCAACAGTGGTGCTACATGTTACACTTCCAAAATAATTAAAAAGGCAACCGGGTAATTATTTCTATTTTGTAATCATGCTGTATCGTAAGATATGTACCAGTTATTTTGATACAAAGCATTTTTCCCTTGACTACTAGACTTTTTCTAGATTTGAGGGTTTTAAAGATACAACGGTTCAATGTCCACATGGAGGCCTGTGACGAGTGGTGTTCCTCAGGGGTCAGTACTGAGACCAGTGCTATTTAACATCTTTGTTGGAGACATGGACAGTGGGATCGAGTGCACCCTCAGCAAGTTTGCTGATGACACCAAGTTGTGTGGTGTTGTGGACACGCTGGAGGGAAGGGATGCCATCCAGAGGGACCGTGATAGGCTGGAGAGATGGGCCTGTGAGAACCTCATGAAGTTCAACAAGGCCAAGTGCAAGGTCCTGCACGTGGGTCGGGGCAATCCCATGCACAAGTACAGGCTGGGCAGAGAATGGCTTGAGAGCAGCCCTGAGGAAAAGGACTTAGGAGTGCTGGTGGATGAGAAGCTCAACATGAGCAAATCATATCCTGGGCTGTATCAAAAGGAGCGTGGCCAGCAGGTCAAGGGAAGTGATTCTGCCCCTCTACTCAGCTCTCGTGAGACCCCACCTGGAATACTGTGATCAGCTCTGGAGTCCCCAACACAAGAAGGACATGGAGCTACTGGAACGAGTCCAGAGGAGGGCCACGAAGATGATCAGAGGGCTGGAGCACCTCTGCTATGAAGACAGGCTGAGAGAGTTGGGGCTGTTCAGCCTGGAAAAGAGAAGGCTCTGGGGTGATCTTACAGCAGCCTTCCAGTACCTAAAGGGGGCCTACAGGAAAGCTGGAGAGGGACTTTTTACAAGGGTGTGTAGTGAAAGGACAAGGGGCAACGGATTTAAACTGAAAGAGGACAGATTTAGGTTAGATATAAGAAAGAAATTCTTTACATTGAGGGAGGTGAGGCCCTGGAACAGGTTGCCCAGAGAAGCTGTGGATGCCCCATCCCTGGAGGTGTTCAAGGCCAGGTTGGATGAGGCTTTGGGCAACCTGGTGTAGTGGAGGATTTCCCTGCCCATGGCAGGGGGGTTGGAACTAGATGATCTTTGAGGTCCCTTCCAACCCTAACCATTCTATGATTCTATGATACTTGTTTCCCTGTTGTTTTTTTTTATTAAAAAAAATCATAAAAAAATACCATTACTAAAACACTAACTGAACTTACACATTGCATTGTCCATGGAGAAGCAAATATGATGAGATCCTAAATGTAGTCTGTGAAACTCAGTCAAGAACTACTGGTTGGTCGTCTCCACCTGCCTGAAGCTTAAGCTTCTTTGCTTTTAAGTTAGAACCACAGTTAGGCCGTTTATATTCCTGTGACTTCTTCACCACTGAATCTTGGACAGTCTTTGAAACAGTCTGAGCATTTCCTCTGCTTCCTTTCGAATTCGAAGATTGAGATGATTTGTCCTGTAAGTTATAAACAATTCTATTAAAATTCTAACATTGTTTTTCTTCTTTTTCAGCGTTCCCACACAAGAGAGAAGATAATGAGATCAATTTTAAATCCTGTTGATTGCACTACTACAAAAAAATATACTGAGCAGATACCAAACTATTAAAATAAACTATAATGGAAAATATACCTATATAGCAAGTCAGTACAGATACAAATACCTTGTAAACACTTTTCTTGTTTGTTATCCCTTGTATAGTGATGACGTGTGCCTCATTTTTCAGCAGACCTGCTTTTGGTCCTATCTTCAGGTAGGATATTGTAGCAAATGCAGTGAAGCTGAAGTCTTCCCTGCATAAATTAAATCAGCCTTATAAGAGAAAGTTGGAGACAAAGACAGGCTAGACCATGCAGGGGGAAAAATGTGACATATTAATCCTTCTGATGGATGTTCAAAACAGCAGCTTGATTCTGCTTTATCTACTCAAGTGGCTAGTCGCTTAATTTAGAGCAAGTCTGGCCAACACTTAACAGTTTAGTTCAGTTTGTAGACCTTCACGCACACGTGTCAATCTGTGCGGAGGACAATGAGGAAAAGAGATGTAATAAGTCATCTGCTCACACTCTTAAGAGTACAAAAAGTCAGCCGTACAGATGACCAAAAAAACCCAAACCTAAGACAAAAATAAAAGGATTAAATATTCGATTTGTACATACTCTTACAACTTCTAAAACAAACTTCTGACAAGATAAAACACATACCACACAGACAGCCAGGTTACAAGAGAAGCACTGTTGTTATTTTCACTATGCTCTCTTACAATTTCCGAGTACCACTTTCCACATTAGCCAGCCTGTCCTGACTTGGACTTCATCTGGACAAGCCTGTTTGCTTTGCTTAACCATGGAGTATAAGTAAGACTCTGCATAAACAGCAGACTTCTCCAAAATTAAGGCTGCTGCAGATTTAAAGGTTCAACCTGAACATAGAAGACCCCGGCTTTTTAAGACTGCAAGAGATGCAGCGTTTCAAGTATTACTCAAACTTATGTTTTAACATTTTGAAGTAGAAATATAGTAATCTTTCAAGTTTTTTTTTTTAATACATTAAATGCATCTGCAATAAAGGCTAAAGATAAGACTACAGAATGTATCCATTAATACTGTACAGAAGTAACACAAGAGTAAAGAAAAAGTGCTACTAGATATTAAACAAAAAAAAAAGTAGTCATCTTACATACTTCAGATACTGCTGCAGCAGTAAATGGGCAATAATTCTCTCCAGTTCCTCTCGAGGGTGCTTTGGTGGAGTAACTTCAGCCACCCTCAATTTTGACACACCTTTCCCAGACCATGCATCAATTAATTTCAGTGGAGTGAGTTTCTCACTCATGTTTTCAGCTTGCTCAAGTATCTTGATTAGATCCCTGCAGTATCCTGTTATATCCATTTTCTCACATGCTACAAATAAAAATGAAGTAATGTTTAAACAGCAAGTTATTTATAGTTATTTAGATAGTATCCAGATACACATTAGGTGTATGCACTTTTGTATGTATATATAAATATATAAATTTGTAACAATCAAAGGTGTAACTTTCCCTCTGTCAAATTAGGATATATTTGTACTCAAACTTACATTTACCTTTCTACTTCATTATTAAAACTCCAATCCTGCAAACATTTTTGCATGTATTTACAGTTACAAACCATAAAAATTATTTCAAAGAAGCATTTACAAAGCATTTGTAAATTTCTTGACATTTCTTCTCTCAAGACATGGACAAAATGAGACAAAAAAATACTAATTTCATTATACAAACCAACTTTATTCTGAATAATTATTCCGAGCACTAGCACATCCGTATAGTATATAAGGATTATGCTTCTACTGCACGATCAGGTCATGGCATAGAATTACCTCAACTGCCTTCTCCAGTACTAAGAATCAAGCACTGAAAAACTAGTACTACTGCTAGGTTTCCTCAGACCTTGCTTATACATCAAAAGGCCCTGAAGGTAAACCAGCAGTAAACAGGATATATTTGAAGTCTGCTTCATCGCATGGCTCCTGTAAATCCTGGGTACAAACCAGCTCCACACTCTTCTCAATCTCTATTAGTTGAATAAATTTCAACTAAGCGCCATTTCCAACTAGAAGATTACAAAACATGGTTACTTGCATGATTTTTGCAAAATAGTTTCTTATATAGAAGAACTAACTGTATAAAGAAAAACGACGTTAGGTATCTTTGTCTACCTTACTCCCTCAAAAATGTACCGGGAAATAAAATCTAGTTATGAGAACAGCTTTGAATATAGAGTTGTTCCTAAGTTTTTCAAGTACTGATCATTACATCATCCAAGTGTTTTGCAACAGATACAAGGACGTGGTATTTTCCACATATTACAAGAATTCACCTGGTACTCAAAGAAATTGAAGGTGGTTCTGATGGTCCAAGAGAGATGCCCAAGACCAACTTTTTCTCAGCACTCTCTTCAGTGATTTCCATGGGATTTCCTATGCCTAAACCAGAGCTCTCACTTACTAAGTGCAGCAACAAATACTTTGTGCATCTTCAGATACTTGTTAAACTAGCTACCCAACACTGCCCAGGATGTTTGTGGGCAAAGCAGCAAAAGAACTTATGTCCCAGAACCACATTCTACTGAAACTACCCTCCTTTACCATGCAGCAGGTCTTGTTTCAGCTCATCTCCCAAGTTCCCTCTATATCTGGCCCATATGCCCTCCTTTCTACAATCCCAACTTTATTCCAAAGGAAGACCACACACTAGACAGACCTTGTGCTGTTAGGGCTAACACACAGCAAAATTCTAAATTAGTGTGCTCAGTTGTTTGCACAACTCTCAGGCACGGTCCTGACACAGGTAGGTCTCATGAGCATGCAGCACTGGAATCCTTAGAGATTTTACCAGGCAAGTTATGAAAGGACATATGCAAACTGTGCTTTCTCAGAGCCCAAGTGTGAACAGTTTGCCACACAGAGAGCAAGAGGCTCCTTCTCAAAATAAACCTTTCACATTCAAAGAAATCCTGAAACAAAACCTGACAAATACCATCATCTTTTTAAAACAGGAAAGCCAATCTCCCCCTTGCCCCATCTTCCCTTTTGGGAACAGATGAACCACTGAGCCTGAAAGACACCAAAGGGTTTTGGCCTCAGGCAAAAAGCCAAACCAAGAAAAATCCTGCTAAAAACCCTGAATTTGGCAACACTAAGCCACTGAAAACTGATGTTCGTAACAAAATGTACACCTTGGAAACAGGCAGTATTACGAGCAAGCTTTAAAGAAGTTGCTCACAGTTTGTCTAAATGAGGTACTTCTTTAACCCAACCTTTTCTATGTTCCCTGTCCTTGGGTATAAAACCAATTTACTTACAGTTCTCTCTACAGCAGTTATCACACATTCTGTTGCAGTTTGCAGAATCCCATACTTCATCAAAATGATGGGCTATGAGGACCCGGCGACATCTGAAAGAACAGAGAGAAAAGAAACTACAGAACACACATATATACACCTGTTATAAATCAAGAAAGTGGCAAAAAGAAGGTCCCTTGGGTCAGCTCATATCTCAAAACAAGCATGAAGAATTATCTCTGAAAAAAATCAGAAAACACTGCAACACAGTATTCCCTGTCAGTTATGCTAACAGGAGTAGCCAGTAGCTTTCAGTAAGATAAAAAAACCACTGTAGGAATAGTTTGGTTAAAGCAGAAAAGTAAGTAGAATCACAGAAAGGTTTGGGTTGGAAGGG